GAAAAACCGTAAGGCACCATCTGCTGTTTTCTGTTTAGAATTACTATTGCATCCTTTGACGCAGCACCAGTGTCCCATTATTTCCAAAGAAGCAACAAGAACACGTCTGCTCTCTGTTAGTTTTCTTTTGTTTGTTGCTGCTGTCTCTTCACCACAGAAATGGCGCTAACTACCCTAAATGAATTGCGCTTTTGCGGAAGTGACGTACACTGTCACAGACCGATTACTTTCCCTAAGTTTTATATTCATTAAAACATAACTGACAGAAGAGCCTCCAGATTATATTCATACTTCTGCCAGTCTCTTTAGGGGCAAATGGTAGCCTAAGTGAAAGTTTGAAATTCAATATCAGATGTAAATGGGTTTTGCGGTCATACTGAAGTATGATGTACGTTTTAGGACCTCCTCAGTTTACTGGAAAAAAATTGTATAAAAGATGTTGTCAGAAGTGGGATTCGAACCCACGCCTCCAGGGGAGACTACGACCTGAACGTAGCGCCTTAGACCGCTCGGCCATCCTGACGATACGACACGTCATCAGACACATCGTAAAAATCCGAAAGCCCCCTGCGGTCACGACGGTCTCCATTTCTAAGGCAGAAAAATAGTCAACAGTCCATCGCATTCGTTATTTTAGTGCGTACTTTACCCTGCCTCTTGCCCATAGACTGCCAAAGATAGGCACCGGTGTTATGATGTTATGCATGCCTGCCGAGATATGCATGCCAAGTCGCGGGAGAGCGCCTCGCTCTGTACAACTGCATATTGATGAGGAAAACGGATTAAAATATAAACAATGGAGCAAATTGTTGTTATATTAATGATAGAAAAACGTTTAAATATACCTCTCTTTGGAAAAAAAATGTGGCAAATTCATTCAAAAATACGGGTGTTATGGACAACATTAAATCCAAAGATTTTGTCCGAAGTACGGCTGATTTATCTGCTGTAGTGTCTTGTTATTCACACGCAACAATTAGCAGTGATAGCCGACGTCAGTTTTGAAACTGCAAAGCTTTAAAGCGGAAAATCGAACGCGCATCTACACATCAGAGAGTTCAGTGTGATGCATTCACGGGCGTCAGATAGCTATGGTGCATTCAGGAGCATGGGACATTTCACACTTACAAGGAAAGAGGCATAAAATACTTAAACATAATTTAATTTAAGTTCCTGTAAATTATTATTTCTTTACACTGTTCCAAGTTTAAATATTTATTCCGCTTTGTTTAGAACGACCCATGGGAAATTAAGTTTCATGTTGGATACTCAGTGCTGGAGCAAAGGTTCCAACAGGTTGCATCGCTGGATCAGAAGTATCTTGCCATAAATCACCCATTAATTATGGGCCATCATTGTTTACTATTTATTGAGATTTTTTTTGTGAGCTGAAACACAAAGGAAAAAATAAACTCAGAAACAGAATGTTACCATCATAACACATCAACTAAACAGTGAAGATTTTTCTTCACACGTTTACAAAATAAACTTGACAGCCTTTTTAGATCTAAAGCTTTCATTTCAACCATGTAAGATATTTGAATTAATCGATGTAGAAACAGTTGAATACAAACAAACATTTTAATGTTATACCTTTTAGAATCTTGTTTATAAAATTCTTTAAAATACATAAAATATGCACTCATTTATGTTGATATATCATAACAAAATCATTAAAAGCATAAAGAGATTGTGCTTTTGGCCTCAAAAAAATTTGGAAAAATTCACAGGATGTAAATACTTCGACAAAACCTTAAACCTCAAGTTTCTACACAACCAGCACTTTTTGGAAGTGTTTTAAGGATAATAAAAACAGCATAGAAATCATATCAGGGAGCATTACCCCAAACTAATCTGAAATCTGCAGTGAGATCTGACAGGTTATTTTAAAGAGCAGCAAACCCAACTGCAGCTTCAGTAGGGAGGCCCAGACTACCCTCGCCCCAGCCACTTGGTCCAGCTCCTCCAGGGGAATCCCAAGGCGTTTTCAGGCCAGTCATTGAGAAATACTGATGCTACTTTAAGTAGGATCATTCTTTATATGCACACAATGAAAAGGAGACGGAACGGAAATGGAATGGGGCTGTAGAGGGAGAACTCAATCAGATCTTCTAGAATGTGATGACCTCCCTCACTGATTAGCTGCAGAGTTAGAAAAGCTTTCCTGGATTATTTAAAAATTAACTTGGAATGCAAACTTTCTAGCAGTGTTATCAAATGAGTCTTCTAGTCAATGAAGGCTGAAATAATACTATTGCCACCATCTGGATAAAATTATTCCCTTTTTTACAATAAAATATCATGTTACAATATAATGATTATGTAATGTCGTGAAGGGGTTTAAAAAAAATTTTGTGTGACAGCTATGCGATTCTGTATGAAGCAATGCTAAGTTAAATCTTAAGATTGTTAGAATATACTCAGTATTATTGAGTTTTGGTGATATAATTTTTTGAAATTGACATTCTTAAATATTTTTTCTTGATTTCTTTTTTTATCAACATCATGTGTTGTCATCCTTTGGAATTATCTTGTCCTGAGCTGCAGAACATGTGATTCACTCCCACCGCCTTTCTCTGTAAATCAGTCCACAGACTGCGCTTCGCCCACTCTCTGGCACAGAACCTGATCAACCGAACAAACAGAGTTACGGTCAAACAAAGGTCACATGGATCATTCTCAGAGAAATATCTGCTGTTTTGCTCACCTGCTTCATTTCCATTGTCACAACTGCTGAGCAAAAACACATCAAGTTACACGATGCATAAAAATGAAACGAAAAACAACAATTTGGTACTGATTTCAGTACCAACCTGCCCAGTAGGACGAGGGGAACTCTAATGGTCCATCCACAGACACCCCATATAGGAGCTCAGCCAGCCAGGAGACCTCAGCTGGATCATCTACAAAAACCTCTTCAGGTTCTTCCTCTGCCACAAAGGTTAACATAAAATTTGCTTTATTTTGAATGAATTTAGTACAAGTTTATCACTGATTTTCTTTAACTAAAACATAGTCCAAGGTAAACGTACAGGCCCTAAAAATACACTCATACTCCCTTAAAACTGAATTAGTCTTAAAGGTAAGGCATCAAAATAGGTGTTCCTCCTAATTGTCAATCATTCTGGTGATATGTTTACATAAAGCCTTCCTTTGTGCTCATCCCCATTTTCACTTACTGATGGTGAGTCTGACATAGTGGAGAAATTGCAAATCTTGTTTTAGGAAAGTAAGCTTGTAGGAGCGTTGCAAACAGCAACTTTTAAACAGAGTGTTCATGAGGATAAATGGGCTTGTGCATGTTCTTGGGTGTGGGAAATAGGTGTACCCTCGTTGGAGCTGGTACAGGGTTGTGCATGTGCATTTTATTTAAAAAGGGGAGTGGGCAGGTCTTTTCCAAAATTCACAAAAATCCTCCACTATACCTTTATTGGACCACATTCTTATAGAATCCACCTGACATATTTCTGCCCACATACAGTATTTGACTTCATGTTTTCAAAGTGGTAGCTGAGTTAAAATGTTAAGTGTCAAGGCCAACCATTTAAGGCATAGATCATCTGCACTATGGTTGAGGTTAGGGACATTACAAATCATTATTCAATGCTAGTCTGCTTTATCTATTCCAAAACCAGTTTTGATGTGAATTTTGAGTTTTTTCCTGCTAGAATACCCAAAAGCATCAAAGTTAGATCTAAATCGAGTGGCTGATATGTGGTAAATTTGAGGAATTTGGAAGTAATTATTTTTTAATGGGTACATTATACAGGGCAGCAATAACACTAGTAGCAAAAGACAGCAGATACCGCAACCTTGTGGTAACTTTACAAAACCTACTTTGTGAAACTGTGGTTAAAGTGCTCTTTGTCTTCTCAGACCATAATACCTTTCCCATGATCCTTAGCTGCAGTTTAAAGGGTCCATTCTGTATCAGCCACTTATTACTTGGAAGCTTTGAAGTCCATGGCAGTGTTACTTGCCTTTATTGTAGACCTTCCAGTTCACTGAAGACTTGGTGCTTCATTGGTATTAAGGACATGTTTAAAAGTCAATACCAAAAAAATGCACCACTTTAAATCAATCAAATTATTTTTGTTACCGAGAGAATTAGTTGGGTTATATCCGGACTTGTAGCTACAAAGAGTTAAATTCTCTAAGGCTCAGCCATCTAAATCATAGATTTAAAGAATATACGTATATATGAGCCTGTATGCATAATGTTGACCGTGTTTTGATTAGAGAAAAAACACAATTAATTAAAGCTTATAGAAACCTTTAAATGAATGACCTATGAAATAGAAAATGACATGAAAGCAGGGATAACTTGATCAGAATGACCTGATTGGGGGCTTTGATCCTCCTCTGTTTCATCTCTGGTCCAGGCTGCTTCAATTACCTCCATGTTGCTACATTCAGAAGCAGTGAGGCTGTGACAGCAGAGTCTCTGTCTTAAGCACGCCATGTCACAGATATAAGCTTCTTTGTGGAGTTGGCTCGCTGAACAGGCATAAACATCCAAACACTGTAAATCAGGGAATTTGAAGCCCTTTTAAGAGCGCAGGTAAGGAAGTTTTAAAAAAAAAAATAACAAAATCGGCTAACTCTGAAATGCTTCCAGTTGCTGGACGTAGCTGGCTGCATCCTTGATGTTCATGTAGAAGCGATGGCTGTCGCTCAGGTGTCTCAGAATGTGTTTAGAGTGGAAAGCTGAGTGCGTGTAATAAACAAGCTTTGATAAGCCCAGAGAGCTCATAGCAGCAATTTCAAACCTGCAGCCCTGCAGAGAAAAGAAGAAGAGTGAATAAAGAGTAGGAGCTTCTGCTGTGTAAGATTACCGGTATGTAAGATCTGTAAGAGGGTGAGCGTGACACTTCTTATATTTACCTGGAAGGTAAAGTGGTTGATATCAGCCCAAGTGAAAACAAACAATGCAGACTGCTTCCCTTTCACCTCCTTTGGAGAAAAAACGAAAGAAAGAAAAAAGATTGCTGGAAAAAAAAAACATAACTAAACTATTGATGTTAATCTAAATAAAAACCTTAAATCCTATTTGAAAAACAAGCTTTATAGTTTATTTCAGCTTCAATATCTGTACAAAATTTAAATACATTTATTATGGCTGTGAATGTTAAATTCATTTGTGCCCATTTATGATAAAGAGATCACACAAACAATTTTACTGTTTCACAATTATTTAGGGGCTCTCTATAATTCCCAAAGGTTAAATGTAGTACAGGCACAAATAAACACATACATTACATCTAATCTTTGAATATGTGTCCCTTCATTATATATATATATATATATATATATATATATATATAATGATGAAGAGACTATCTTTATATTACTATAAAGATACATTTTCTGGCATGATCCTGGTCTGGTATTAGATGACTGTACCAGTCAGAAATAATAGAAATTATTTAAATTTCTGTGTTTCTGGTAGAAACTAAGCACTTTAACATATTCTGTCATCCCAGAAGTTCAATGTAACCTGGCTTATACATTCAAAAGCATTTTGTTGTCGCTCCAGGAATACTGTACAGCTAAAATAGATTATGCCCACATTTTAAAGGCACAGCACAGAATTTGCAACCTAAAGGGTTTGACGCTTATGAGTTATTTTAAATGATTCCTCAGGCCAATATGCAGCACTTGACACTATCAATGTTAGGAGTGGGGCTCCACTTTTGAAATACTGAAATGTAAGTTGGGGGATGACGGACCATCATTGGCCGCTTTATGGCTGCAGGCTCTTATATTGTCATGGAGCTAAGGCTTTTGTTCTAGTATTTTTTCCGCCTGCTCCACTACTGGTCATGGCTGAGGCAAGGAAAAAATGTAAACCTTCTGAGGAGGATAAAAACAGAAAATGTGAAAGGAATAATGTGCAAAGAAAAACGAGAGTCGGTCTTGGAAAGTAGTTTATAGATATCGTATAACCTATGGACAACCCACCTGATATATATGGACTCCAGTCAACGCCACACCAAGAAGGATTGAACTTCTCGCTTCGTTTTTCTCCTGCACATTTGAGGGAATTGGAAAAATGACAGCTGAGTTCATGTGACTAATTTATGGGCAGTTTACTCTCATGATGAATTAGTAACAAAGATAGAAAAATAAATGCAGCAGCTTGTCATAGGAAACTCATATCAAAGTAAAGCTTTGCTCAGTAAGTTTCTTTGCAGCAATCATTTATGAGTGCAAACCTTTATTCATGACCTAAAAGTAATGTCAAAGTCAGACCTGTTTCATCCTGTAGAAAGTCATTCCTCCATCCTGCAGGCTGCTGGCCCCTTTTATGAACTGCAGAATGGCCTGGCTGCGTGATACCCCCCTTAGCTCGCTGTGTAACACTGGACAGTGTTGGAGAATGAAGTCTCTCCCTCTGTGATTAACTAGCTAATAAACACAAAGATAATGTTAGCACAGATGTAAATGGTCAGAAGGTAATGCACAATTTCTAAATGCAGCTTTGGCTATTGCTTTCAAACCTTTTTGGGTACAGGAAGGATCCATCATTTGACGCAAGATGTTTTGGACTGTCCATAAATCAATTTCTGTCTCTAACTTGTTTTTGGACCACTCTAACTAACATGATGATAAACTAATGGCTATGAATCTACTCTTCATATATCTACGATCTTTATGACAACATTACTGTACAATATATATATGACCAGGATGGCCGAGTGGTTAAGGCGTTGGACTTAAGATCTAATGGACAAATGTCCTCGTGGGTTCAAACCCCACTCCTGGTAACACAGTACTTCCTCATGGGAGAATTTGGTAACTCCAGTTATGTAAGGGAGAAAAGCAGCCTGATGGTTAGAGCTTGGAGTTCTGAGTTTGAACCTCAATCCTACAGCCTGTCTCTCTCTGAGCAAGACCCTTAACCCTAGGCAGCCCACTGCTCCCAACTAACAATGGTTAGTTAAATAAGGTTTTCCTCTAAATGCAGAGGTACATTTCTCCAATGGAAATCTATAAAGTTTAATTGGAAAAAAAAAAGGTTTTCATATTTACTCTCTGTTTAAAAATACTATTTATAGTCCACACGTACATGGTCTATGTGCACATGTAAATAAATACTTATATCCTATATAGGACTTCTGGATAGATTCAAACTACATTACTTAACATGTTTCTTTTGTGAAATTGTAATGACAATAAAGTTGAATTCTATTATATTCCATTCTATTCTATTCTACGCAGTCAACAGTCGTAGTTTTATGAGAATTTAGATCCAGACATGAATCACAGCCACAATTCATGACAAAATGATGTTATATCCTCAGAAAACAATTTGGAGTTTACAAAATTATATGAGGAATCAGTGGCTTTATAAGAATTAACTCCTAAAGTCAAGAAAATTGAGAACCACATGCAGAAACAAACTCATACATAATGATTCAGTTCAATGGTACATCGGATTGTATAATACAGGCTTGTTGGATTAAAAGCATGGATGAGGGGCATATTGACCCGAAGCTTAAAGAAGAAAAAACTAAGGCTTTAATAAAAATAGCGGATTCTTCGACAGAAAGCAAATGAGCAGACATAAATAATCAGCATTTTTTAAATCTTTAAAAAAGATTAATATAATCCTTTTGTTAATCTATTTAAAGATCTATGAAACATTTCTTTTATTTTTGAAAGAGCACAAAAAGTGCTCATGATTTGGTTTTGTTATAGGCATGTTAACAGTCAGTAATGGTTTTTCATGCAGTCTACCTGATGCCATTACCTTATAAGCTTATCCTCAGTTGTTTAAAAGGGAGAAAAGACAGAAAACATCCAAAAACAATACTTCATCCCAGCCGGTGCACTAGTTATTAATCCCCAATGTTGGATCCTTGAGATTATTTTTCCCCCTTACCCAGGCTGGAAAGTAAACCTCTGGACGAAAATATTGGGTTCTCTCTTGTTTCTCCTCCCCTTCTCCTTCTTTCTTAATCCCCTCCTGATGCTCCACATCTCCAACTTCTACCTGAAGCGCGGAAGCTGCCAGCTGGAAGAAAAGAGCTTCCTGATCGCAGCTTTGGGAATGCAGCACTTTCTGTCTCAGCTCCCAGTAGTAAAGTTGCTGCACCTTACTGCTCCTGGAACGGGATGAGAGAGAAAGACGTCTTTCCTCGTTGACTCGAGCATCAAACAAAAATCTATAACCGAGGGGAATCCAAACTTACAATATCAGGAGCCCACTTTCCAAATAAAACTTCACTCTCAAAAATAAGATGAATGGAACCTGGAAGTACAGAATGAATCATTCAGATTTTTATTTAAAATATCGAAATATTTTAAATTATGCATAGAGAAACTAACCGTTATGGAGTCCCTGTTCCATATTTTACCAAAATATTTGCTCAGCTTTTGCTTCAAATCCAGAAACAGATATTCATTATCTTGGAACACAGAATAAAGATTATAAATGGAGGAATAGATAGAGGGGTGCTTTTTTTAAACAAGATATAGTTTATATATAAAACCTCCTCTCATCCCAGCATTCCACAGTAAATGAAATGAACACATTTCTCCCCCCCCCACACACATGAAACAACATGCCTCTGAGAACCGCCAAACCAAACACTTGGAGATCACCGACAGCAATCAGACGCAGCACAGTGTTCATCACCTCCTGGCCTCTGGCTCCCATCTGGAAATAAAAAAAATTATAATTACCCTACAGGTTTTCACCAAAAATTAGTCATTCATATTTACTCTCAATGCATTACTGTATTTGAAATCAAACAAGACGTTCTGTAATTCAAAAAAGGAGATGCTTAAAATTATTTTCATGCAGTGAGGAATTATAACCAGAGCTGTCTTACCCTGACAAAACAGTCCAGGTGTTCTTTGTTGGGCAGAAGAACGCACACGTGTCTCTTTTGTTTTGTCCTCATTGTCACAAAAGCTGCAGTTAGTCGAAGTCCTCCTTATATCCTCCTCCTGTCCTAACACCAAAGCTGGTCCTGCCTCCTCTGATTTAATTACATGCTACGTGAAAATGAGAAAACCAGTTATTGTTGGTTAATGGTTAGTTTTTACCTATAAAAGTTGGAAGAATCAGTCATGCATTAATCCATTCAAGTAATTCCAGTGTTTTTGTATAGCGCCAATTTACACTTCAACTAAAGGCACTTTACCGACACAATTTGGTTAAAGGATTTCTATCTATGGAAACCCAGCTGATTGGATCCAGTCATGTTATTTAGTTTAATAATCATCCTCCATGCGTGCATTCTTTGTTGAACCACCTTTCACCATTTTGGTCAATATGTAAATTCTTATAAAACAGCCCAGATTAAATGGAGATTATCTGGATGTGAAATTTAAATTCTTGGATCCTCATTACAGTTCAGATCGTTTTTATAGTCTAACAGCTGATGTAAACTGGGCTGTAGTTTGTCCTGCTGGATCTCCACTTCAGTCTTGAATCCGGTTATCCTGCTGGATCGGAAATCAATTCTGTCCATTTTAAATCTACAATCCCAGGTTGCAGATTGGCTGGATGAACGAGTCTTGACAGGTTTATATTCTTCATTTTGAGAGAATTCTTTATAGACATGCCTCCATAAGAGCCTGCTTAATCTAATTAAAACTTCTCTACTGGCCTGTCTAGTAGGTTGCTTGATCTTAAGATTTTTGCTCATTACTTTCACAGAATATCATCATACCACTTTTTTAGGGGTATCAGAATAAAGCGATTGAATGAAGGGGTATGCAACCTTTTTTTAAGTTTATTTTCATTTATTTTTGTTAAACTATCATGAAAAATCCAAATTAAATACACTGTTGAAAATAAAAGGGATATGAGTACTTTTGCAGACATCTTTAGGTCTTCTATTCGGTATTGGGCAGCTGAAAAAAGCCTGAGTTTACTTTCTTTTTTTGCATGGAGAGCAAATATAATAGCAATAGCTTGTAGACGGAATTAAAATAACTATTATATGTAGTAAAAGAAAGAAAATACACTCATCTTTGTTCTATTGTTAATTTATTTAAAACATAATCCAATAATGCCATTTGTGCTTTGCTCAAAGCAACATCAAATAAAGACTGTAGTAGCTGGTGATTATCACAAAGAAACTTCAGATTTTCACCTCCTACTCCGCTTAAGGTACAATCTACAGCTTGGTTTAACTCCTACGTGAAAAATGTTCACATGCACAAAATAAAAAAAGAAGACTAGAGTTAAAAAAGGCATCTGCTCTTCATATACAGGGATGTTTGACATTGAAGAATTACAGTGAGGTGTTAATTTCAGTAGCATCAAGTCCCACAACACAAAAACCAAACTGAGCTTTTCACCTACTCAGATACAGATTCACACATTCACAAACTTTACTCTAATAAATAAATGTTCTTTCTCACTTTAACTTGTTCATTTTAAGGAAACATATCACTTATAGGTGAAGCAGGGTTCAATTTGAAGAGTAACCAAAGGAATTGTACAGTGCATCCTGGACAGGGGTTTGATCTCAGTCCAGGGGGTTTGGAACAGCCTGCAGGCTCAGAAACGGCGTTTTAAACATGATCACAGATTCACTGGCTGCGTCACATCTCAGTGACGTTATATACTGGTCCGTCCTTCAACATGCTGTCCATTTCTTTTAGATAGTCTACAGCTATTTGATTTTAATAGTTGTTCTCTGTTTATACAGCAGAACTGTTTAAAATAAGCAACAAATATTAATGTGTAGCTTCACATACACACAAAACAAAATTTAAAAAGACAATTACCGGCCAAAATGAAGCCTGCTTTCACAAAGATTCAGTCTTTATACACTTTAAACCAAGTACCACAAAACAATTTCCACTTTTTCACCCCTTTAGACAACTCCTTCCCGCTCCGCCTTTGAACATGCTAACACACATGATGGATATTTCACACTGATGTTCAATTTCAAATGAAAAAAAAATCTGAATTATTCAAGAACAAAAGCAAAAATACACACCTTTTCATCTTAAGAAAAATCTTGTTTTGTCATTTGCATGCAGCAGTTTAGCACAGCATAACTTCAAACTGAACTGTCGTATTTTCATCACCTTATTAATAGAAAGGAAATGCTCTGTATTTAACAGAAAATTTGATCTGGGTTTGTGGAAAGTTCAAATTTCTAAATATTTGTTCACTTAACAACCAAAAATAGTAACACGGACATTGTAATTGTTATTAACTTTGTTCCACACTCTTGTTCAACATTATTCTCTCCTTAAAAAAAAAATAAAAATCAGACAGATATTCTTTTCAACAAACTTTAAGTCTCAAATGCCCACCAGATGAGGAAATCTCCCCTTTGATAAATAAAAGAAAAATTGTGAATTGAAAAAACCCCTCTTCCAGGAGTTTCTGAGGTGACTGCATTTAAATGCACGTGGATGTGATGGCTGGTGTTGATTATTTCAAGAGCTGCGTGACCCTACATTCATTGAAAAGTTCTTGCAAAAAACTATTAGTGATTACAAGTCTCCATAAAAGTGTAGCTGAATGCACTTAAGAGAACAGTTGTTAAATGCACTTAACAAACCACCTCCAGTCAGTCCACTGCTGAATAAATTTGAAGAGACGCGTCCCCGTGAATCAGAAAATCACTAAAAAGGTGTTTTATGTAAGGAACTTATATACATAAATAAAACATATATATTAAGTGTTTATTTCTGGTCTATTTGATGGAAAATCTGTAATTAAAAACAATGATTTTTAAGTACATTCCATAAGTTGAGTTGTTCTATAACCTTTTTGAAAAATGACTATCATCTTTTTAGATGAGAGAAAGAGTGAAAAGAAAGGTTACGAGACGTTTGTGGTTCAGCTTCCAGTCAGTGATGATTTAGAAAGCCCTTTCAACATCTGAATTACTATTATTTATTTTCCAGGAAGATCTGGTACCTGCCTACTATGCCAAAGGCAATCTGAGCTAAAACCAACAGAGTATCTATGAAGTACTGTCCAGCCAAAGATTAGAGACAGTAGATCAAACAACAGAGATGAACTAAAGGTCAAGATTAAAGTAACCTGGCCTCGTCTCCAGGTAACATTGCATTGGTTAAGTACTGGTTGAAAAGTACAGTCTACTGTACAGGGACATCCTCTACAGTAGGTTGCCATCCCCGTGTAACATTTCATTAAGGATCTTAGCAAACATTTAATTTTCTTCTGAGAATGTTTAGGGTTTTCATTCATCTAAGCCATAAAAATTCTAACAGACAGAAATAAACACTGAAAATATGGCAGTGGGAAATGAATCTAAATGGGATTTCTAATTAAAACCCCTAAATTACTGAAAGTAAAAGAATTGACAAACATACTGTGATATATTGAGACGCCCTTTCTGTATTTCACTACAGCTTGCAGCAGATTGCTTTCAGAACTTGAACTGTACAGAACTCTTGACACATTTTTTTTTTGTTTGTGTTGAAATATCTGAATATTTACATGTAGCTGGGACGCCATCTCTCAGCCAAGAAAAATTCAACTGCTATTGAGCCTCAGATTGTGCGCATTTATAAGCACTACAGCTGAGTTACTGTCCTTTTGACCTATGTACAAGATTTAAAAAAACGAACAAAACAAAAACACTTTGCATGAAACTACATTATTTTCTGTACCTAAAGAGCACTAAAGTCATTTTAGCAGCTTTTACATACAAGCAGAAAGAATCCATATATGATTCTCCTGTTTGTTATTTCCTATGCATATTTTACTTGTTTACTTGAATGAAAGGCAGCTTCCTTTGTTCAGATTGCTTTTTTTCTTCTTTTGTTTACACTTCAAATATTTGACCACATCAAAATGTTTTGACTGCGTGGTCAACGTTGCTAAAGATTCCTAGAGGTACCTCTGCAGATATTTGTACATGCCTGTTATCGGCTGGCTGGAAAGAAAAACAGGAAGACTGGCTTCAAGTCTCTTTCAGCTGTCAGCGAATAGTTAGCGGCCGAAGCGTGAAGGCACTTCCTGGTAAAGCTTTCCACAGATAGCACCTGGGACTTTTTTGAAGTATCCAGTAGAAGCCCTTTATTACGTGAGGACGCTGGGGTTTTAGAAGTGCCCCAGTCACAGAAGGGTGAAGCTTAAGATGTACTGAAGGAGTTTGTTCCTGTTGGCCTGAGGTCGAAAGGTGCTGCTGAGCTCCACAACTGTTACTCTGTTCTCTCTTCTTTCCTTTAGGACCTAAAGAATCATCCAAACATAGAAGATGAAAGTTAAAACAAGATCGGCAGAAATCTTAGACTTTATATGAATGAACAGCGCTTATCAAACATGCATACCCCGAGCTCTTTGAATGTCTTTACTGTGTTCTTCACCAGATAATGAGTCGCACTTTCACCTGGAAAAAGGAAAACAAAACTGGGTCAAAAAAAAAATAAATAAAAAACATATTTTAATCCCTTTGGTTTAAAACATTTTAGGAATTCAAACTGCAATAAACTGCTTAGACCAAGAATGAAATTGATTTAAACTTTCAAACAAAGTGAACACATTCTTTTAACCTAAAGAGCATAAAACCCATAAAGACTTGCATTGAAATAAGTAAAATTGACTTGGGTTAATTTAAATGTAAAAAGAGATTTTAATGTAAAGTTAAAATCTCTTTAGAAATGTATACCACATTGCATTAAATGGGTAATAGGGCTACAGAGTCTCTCTGAGGACTTTTGTTAAAGGAGTTTAAGAAAACAGGAGCTATTGTTAATTAATTTCCATTATATAGCCGCCTTCCCATCCAGGTTTTTTTTTTTAACCGGGTTGACCCGCTAACAATGGGCTTTTGGCTTTTTTTCCCATTTGACCGAAAAGCTGGATATGACCCCCTGCTGGGAAACTGCGCGGTCACTTTCCCACATCACTGCGTGTCTGATGACTGCATCACGCTGGGTGAGCGTTGATGATGCGCAACAGAAATCAGAGAAGTAAATAATGGAGAGCAACATGGACGGGAGCCAGAGAGTAGTAA